AGTCTCATTTACCCAAGGAGACATTCATGTGATCTGTGAGGTCACTTAGCAACAGATTAGACAGGAACAGATATAACGAGAAGACAGTTCTACTGTAAAGATGAGACTACCCAAGTTGTGAAAAATACAACTCACCACCACATGAATAGTGTGTTGCTGGGGGGTAAAAACCAAAATTTCAGAGTGCATAAGCAAAGAAAAAAGAGAGAATTAAGAACCAGGTGAAACCAAAGCGATTCAGCAAACATTAGTGGCATTTAGTGACATGCAACAGCAATAGAATTGCATCATTGATGGAAAACAACAGCAGGACATCACAGCTTAGGTGTTTAAAATGGTACTGATACAGCACAGAGAGACTGGTTTGCAATATTGAATCTTGATTATTGTAAAAGCAGAATGCAAGGAGGTGTAAAAGGTGCCAACAAGCTCATGAAGCATGAAGATCATGTCCACACCAGGGTGACTAAATTTGTGTGCCTTTTCTATTCCATTCTGGCCTTTCAGACACACTAAGCTGGCCTTTTTTCTGTTGTTCTGAAATTTCAATGTGGACAAGAGAACTTTTTGAAAGCAACTTGAAAATGTTTATGTTGTTCAATATATAAACAGCATGTTCATATTTATTCACCAAAGCATGGACATGGTGTGAAACTTGCACTTCAACCAAAATTACAGCAGCCGATACAGCTAATTATTCCCTCCTGTTTTGGTTATAGGTGTGCTAATCATATAACATCCTTAAGGACACATATACACTCATTGGCAGTACACCCTTGGTAATATTACTGAGATTTAGGAAAATATCTGTATCAAATTAATCTTGAAAAATTGTTGATCTATGCTTTCCAACAGTACCTACACATTTCATAACAAATTACACTGAGACAACAACTGTTTGACATTTGAAGAAGGTTATGAAGACGATATGGATTTTTGAACTGGAGCAGAGTACCGAGAACGCCAGAGGCATGCACTGTCGTCTCCTGGCCAACTTCTTCCTGTCTCTCTCCTGCTTCTCTCGGTGGGCCAGCTGCTGGTAATACTCAATCAGCTTGTTGATCTGTAGGCAAAAAAAATTCAATCCAGAAACCGGTAATCAATTCTTTATGTACTTTTTTTGATAAGACAAGAATCATGAGGAGTTAGCTCTTAGAAGACAACTGTAAAATATGACAGTGTATGGTGATTTTATATCTATGAATGTGAGGACCTTTTAAGTAACACAATAATCCAGGAGGGAATTACAAGTAAAAATGGTGATGTCTTCATAAAACAGTTGGTAAACAGATTTTAACTTAACTTGTGCAATGTGGAAAAGTGCAAAATACTAATCACCTACAATGACAATCACTGAAAGAAACACTTGGTACAATAATAGAAGGTAATTTGCTTTAACAACCACTTAAGTTACAAAGAAATAAAAGGGCACTTTTATAACTTATTTGTGCCACATTTGTGGCCTAAGCAACTCAGCAGCCACTTACTCTGCTTTTGCTATCTGTGGGTGTCGCTTATCTGAGATACATCTATTCAAAAACAAGCAATGCATGATCAGGAAACATGTGAGCAACTCGAGAGAATTTATATTACCAGAGGGGAAAACCTACCCGCTGAGTATGAGGGTTCTCTGGTTCCTGCCATCCACCACTGGCTGCAGTGAACAAAAAAAACACCAAACATTAGATTTAAGACAGTCATAGGGAACAAATACAAACCAAAACACCTTTTTTTATGAGCTAAACTAATGAGCAGTTCCTGAATTACAGCAGACCTTTAACACAAGGTAGTGTTTTGGCACTGTTGATGGTTTTTATGCCTACTGATGGTTAATTTTTAAAATAATTCTGACCACATTAACATGTCAACATTATACAGTACCCACCAACTGATTTGTCAGCCATTCCCACATCCCTGGAGGTCCAGCGACAGAAGCCACAGGCCAGATAGTAGGCCTTCTTCATGGCTGTCTTGGTAGGATCATCAGGCAAAGGAGATGGGATGTTGGTGGCCCGAGTGGACAGTGTGTGCATGCAACATGGGCAGTCGAAACAATTTGCACACCTACAGTAGAGTACAAAGATAGTCAGGAATGAAAAAAAGGGTATCAGTGACATAAATAAGATGTAAGGTCACCAGATAAATACAAAGTGACCTAAATGAGTGCTGTATTGATATGTAGCTTTCTCTATGTATCTGCACAAAAGTCTTACCTGTTCTTTTTAAGTTTAGCCTCTGCAGATGGCATGTTCTCCAGACAGCTTGGACAATAGTGGGAGTCCACCTGATCACCAGAAACAGGGGTGCAAGAGAGCTGTCAGCCAAACTCTGCATCTACATCTTAAACTGTGTTTTGCACTGGCTTCCTAATTGTTGAATTGTCACAGAGTTTTGATAAATGCAACGTAAACAGAACAATATCAAATGTATATGGTTGACATTTATCTAAGATAGAGAGGGAATATACTTTTCATGGTGTCTCATATGAAGCGTCACATGTCCACAAAGAAAAACATCAGACTTTAAATGTGTGTGTACTGAAGAAAAATCTGTATCACTCTGGGTGTGGTGTCCATAACTGTGAGCCACGTTATCAGGCTGCTTTTTGACGGCGAGGACGTTAGCTGGGGTGGCCCAGAGTCAACACAAATTGCTTTCCCTTTCGGATGTACCATTCATAATCTTTAAATATCAACTAGCTGGACAGTTTGACATTAAACTCGAAGAAAGGCAAGTGCTAAACAGCGTTAGCCTGTTCTGTGCATAATGCTAACTCAAACGGAAGTTCAACCGTCTCCTACAGCCAATGAGATGAGGAAACTGCCGTGATTGACAAGCAGCTTACCAATAGAATGCGCAAGATGCTTGAGCAAATACCTCCTACCTGTCAAAGCTACTAGCTAGCCGGCTAACAACAATGTAGCTGCCGACTAAATGAAGCTAACAGCTAGCTCGACATAACCAGAGCGCAGTAAGGGAAAACGTTAACGTACCTCGTGAGACACACATTCCAGAGATCGTAGCTCACTACAGTAGCGACAGAAATAAAGTTGAGATAAAGGGGCTCTGATCCTTTTCTCTCCACGAACCAGATAGACAACTCTATCCGGCTGCAGAAGGGACGCCATCTCTGAGCTGTGCAGCTGAATCCGAGGGCTCACAGTCAGCACTGCCGGTGTTGATGTCACTGCTGTTCGGTTTGGCCTCTGAGGAAAGTGTGCTCAATGTCGACCTCGTGTGGTGAACATTGAAACTGCATGTGGACAGTGAAATGGCACAAACCCATGGACCAAAGGGGTCATGGAGCCCCTAAAGCCAGAGCTTCTGTTTGAAGTGTTGAAGTGACCGTATTTAAGCTTAAACAGATAGAAGAAAGGAGCTCAGTGAAAGATAGGGATGAACCCACCTTATGCTACATAGTTCCATAGTGCATACAGAGGCTGCAGTATGCCAACATAACATTTTGTAAAGCAACTTCAGCATGGTTTATAGCAAAATAGTTCCACTTAAGAAAATATAACCAGCATCACAAGTTTCAGTTGCCGGTTTCCTATGATATTTTGTATAGTAGCTTATCCTAAAGCATTTTTTAAATTTGTGGAGAGGAAGGTTCTGTTGTAGCCAGAAGCTTTTGAAAGCAGTCTGATCATAATTTGTGTCAATCCAAATAATAGATAAAGATAATAAAGATAGTTTAGTATTTTATAAAGCTGCACTGCTAATGTTTCTTTCTGTCTTATGATCCATCCATGGCCACAGCATGTACAATTTGTGCAAATCCAAGTAAAAAAAAAAAGAACCGTAAAAGACAGTTACAATATATAATAATAATAAAATTGTCATTGCTGCTTTTACAGCATCCTGGGAATTATTTTTCCAATATTTACTGCAGTTCCAGGGCTTGTGACTCAACTTAAGGTTATTAAGGAATTGTTTTACCCACAAGGAGACTCAACAAATTCATACATTTAAACTAAACACTACAGTATTACAAAAAACAAGATGTTTTCAATTTTTGCAGGATGCAGTGATGCATGTGAACCAGTTCCTGCAATCCAGAGGTTATTGCCAGTCAGCTCATCACATGATTTGCATTAGATCAGCTGGGGAAGCTAATATAAAAGTATATATTCAAATTGAGCACATGCACAGACAATGTGTGGCTCTGAAGAATATGGTAATACATAGGCTACAGTGAAATACAGTTACTGACAAAATTCAGACACTTTAAAATAGGTTGAAAATAAACTTATTTTTGCTTGCTTGCATAGCCTAGCATACTAGCACATCATTTTTTCATTTCCAAATTTTATATCACCTTGCAGCAAATAGACTGAACCTTAGCCGGACAATATAGATCTTGGCACTGTAAAATATAGTCAATAAGGGGCTCTAACAGGACTGGAAAGAGGCCTGTCAGCCACCCACAGGGCGTATGGCCAAGTACCAGCTCACCATGGCAACAGCTGATCTCAGAGGGGTGAAATGATCCATGAATAAAAATTAAACCAACAGTATTTCTCCTCTTTACAGGAAAGGTGACGCATAACATCTTGTATTCATTACAGTTTAGTCAAGCCTAGCTGAATGCTGTTTATGAATGTTCACAGTAGGTTAAGCTTCAGGTATGCTCAGTGACAGACACACACAGACACCCAGTCAACGGGGGTTTCTTTATTTTTGTCAGATTGTCTTTACTAGGGAAAGTGAATGTTAAGGGAGAGCATTATTTCATTTATAACAAAATAATCATTAGCCCTCAAAATAAAAGTAAAATCAATTGGCCCATAAAAAGCTCTGCTAATGCACAATCAAACATTGTTTGTTCATTATGTGAATGCTGTGATAGCAGGAAAAAATTCATAATCATCGAGCTTTCCATCCATCTAATGTCTACTAATGCTGTAGTTCATTCATTCTTTCATTTACTGATTCATTCATTCACTCACTCGCTCATTTAGGACTATTATGTACGCGGTTTACGACAGCAGAGGGCGTCATCTCAGCCAGCTGTGATGCCCCCTCACCACGCCCCCTGCCAGAGGAGTTTATTTATCCTGAGGGAGAAACAGACAGACATCCACGAAGAGTGGTCACCGTTGTCAGGGAAGGTCGGCGCGATGTGGCCCTTCTTACCGCTGCTGCTGCTCGGTCTGCTGCGACCCTGGCCCGTCGAAGCCACGTTCACACAGGTACCTGTTGATACCCACACACTGTACTTGCTGACAGTATGAGCTCAGACAGATAGATAAGACCGACGTGTTAACCTGAGATCAGATGGCATCACTGTCTTTTCTAGTAACGCACCGTTCACACCTGCGCAGCTAACCCCATGAACAGGTTTTTATTGTAGTCATAATTTAACTTGAATGTTGAAAACAGAGTAGACGAAATAACACGTTGCATAGATACAAAGGTGGGTGGGTGTAAATACATATATATATATATATATATATAGCAGTACCTGTCAGCTCGTCATAACCCTGATATTTAGTTTTTACCTCTGCCATCTTAATTTTTCCAGATGCACTTTATCCAGGATTTTCGAGAATGTTCCTCGTGATAGTTCAAATAATGTAGTTCATTTGCACCTCACAATCTTGTCAGCAATTTTGTACCATATGCCCACTTTTCTCCACTGAACCAGACTGCTCATTACAGACCTCTTTTTGTAGCTTACAGACACTGATGATTGGTATTTAAACACATTCTCTCACACCATAAGGATGTCATGAAGCCTATGTACATAAAATAATGCCTTAACACCTGTTATTTTGACTTTGTGACAACTACATCAAATAACTTTTTGTGTTAGCATTGTGATTTATAGTACTTCAATTTCTTCTTTCCTGTATTGTTGACATTATGTGAAAACTCCCTGGGCAAACACAGTCTCACCTCGCTGATCCATGTTCATGGCTGCTTAAAACTTTATCGCACCGCTTTATCCCACCACCTACATTAAAGTGTATCAACTGCAGCAATTGTTTTAAGTAATGGAAAAGTTTGACCTCTAATGCCCTGATGTAAACTTGTGTTTCAAGCAACCCTGATAATCAACAGGACAACTATGTTAGACAGTTCTGTAGCTTCTGTTTTCCACTTCTCATTACACACACTCAGGCACAAATTAATTGAGATCTGGCCTGTGAGTTTGAATTTAACTAAGTGCCTCTGGCTCTTTGAGAGCAATGTTCCCCTGCTCTGTTGACACTGGGCTTGTGTTATGTAGTGGGGCAGATGTCAGTGGTCTAACTTGCATAACAACAACAGGGGTATGAGGAGAAAAAGTGTTGCACCTGTCCCTAATGTGCCTTATTTTGTTAAAGCTTTGGGAACCATTTGATAAAAAAGCTCCTGATTTTTGCACTAGAAACAGGACAGACATTACAAACTGTAGATTAATTCTTTGGTTGACCTTCAGAGCCAAACTGGATTATAAGCTTTCATTAATTTTATCTCAAATGCCATTTTCCTCATATTAGATATATTTGGGGAATCATGTAGGGCTGTAACTCTGAATTACTTTCACTATCGCTTGCCATTTTATTCAGAAATGACTATTAATCAGTTATCAAACTAGTTGCAGAAGAATTTTGTTTTGATTGATTAATTGACTAATTATTTCTGCTCTGCACTTTAAGAGTTCACGATCTAACATACTGTAATGAGTTTTTGTTATGTTACCCATCGACTTATTTGTCACACGACTGTGAATCAAACATCCAATGTTATTTTATTATTCATTACACACATGCTTATTCGGTAGCACCATGAAACAATAATTCAGGCTGTGAATTTTACACCATCCCAGGCCACCCTCACAACAAGTCAGACCACTAGTGTTGTAGGCTAACTCTATTTGTTGATTTAACAGGTACCAGATTAGTTATAAATTTGGCTACTATGTTCATCTGGGAGGAAAGTTGTCTAGATTAGAAAGAGAAAAACTTGTGACTGACCAACAAATGTGAAAAAAAAATTCAACTCTAATATATATTTTTACTATTTCACAATTGCATGTTACTACAAGAGAAGGTGGAGGCTACATGTGTACTATATTTTCATGGCAGAAACCCCATTTAGGCTATAATTATGTCATGTCAATAAGTAAATAAAACATTAGATCAAGGGCAGTAGTTGCATGCAGTTCTCTCTCTCTCTCTCTCTCTCTCTCTCTCTCTCTCTCTCTATTTGTCTCACTTTTCTGACCGCTCATCAACAATGGACAATTACTGTTATTGAGGCAAACTCAATGTAGAAAGATAAGGTGGTATAGCAACAGTGTGAACACAGTGCGAGCTGCAGCAGTTCGGAGGCAGCCATCATACACAGGTGAGGTGATGCAAAAGGTCTGCCAACTTATCCCTGCTTGTTATATTATTGCCAAAACGACCATCAGGCCTCCAGGAAATGTTCCGGTTCCCTCGGGTTGTCCGCCTCTGCACAACAAACAAGCATGTTTATCAAGCAGCAATCTAGTAGTGGTGTTTTTTTTATTTACCAGAAATGACACAGATGAAACCAATCGTTAAAAGGAGTGGGTGGCTGAAATGTTATACACACACCACCCATATTCAAAAATAATCCATGTGAAGGCCTACCACTGGCCAGAACAATTGTGTTGTTGACACTGTACCATAAGTACTATAAATACATCTAAAAGCAAATAATGGGCACATAATGTCCTGTAGAATAAGTTTGGCTTGGTTTATTTGTTTGGTTTTGGGAGTTTTTTTGCACACATCTAGAAAAGCACCTTTTATGAGCAAAAATACTACACTAAAGGAGCACTGGGTAACTGTTAGCTGAAGGCTGGTTAAAACAAATATAACCTGCTTTGACCTGTGTTTGTACCCCCAGCGTTGTGACTCATCCACAGATGGCAACATTTACAAATACCAGGCAAAGACTCTGAATGGGAGTCGCACTGTGAACTTCAGCGAATACGCAGGCAAGAGTGTCCTCATCGTCAATGTGGCTACATACTGAGGATACACCTTTCAGTATGTGGGTAAGAAACGGCACCACAAGCATCTTTGATTGTGTCTGGGGAAAAAATGCATCTCCACCTGAGACATCCTATTATTTCTTTTCTGTTATCAGAACTGAATGCACTACATGACGAGATGAAACCACTCGGACTCACTGTTCTTGCCTTTCCCTGCAATCAGTTTGGCAAACAGGAACCGGGGCAAAATCATGAAATCCTGCCAGGTTTAAAGTGAGTAATCTTTCTTTTTCTGTGCCAGTAAATTTCAGGTCAGCCACAATGAAAACACTGTAAAACAAGTAGCTAAAGAACGACAGTGAGGTAAACACTAATATATATATATATATATATATATATGTATATTAATAAAAATAATATATAAATAAAAATAATGATTTGCTGTTGGTTAAAAAAAAAAAAAAAATCTTGTTTCACCAAATACCAGCTTTTTGGGAACTTGAAAGTATCTAGTGCTGGAAGCCAATATGAGATGTGAAAACAAGAGAATCCCCTGAATGTCAGTCACAAGCTCCTCACAAGACAGCACATATTGTAATGTGTTGGAACATAAAATCCTCCATAGGTGAATGTATAGAGGAATTTGCAATATAGTAAATCCTCTGTCAATCAACAAAGCTTAATTAAATCAGGGAAAACATCCTTTGGCAATAAGATCCGTTTCTCTTAGTGGCCTCTCACACACAGAATTTATGTCTCAGGTTCCATCATTCATCTTATAGCCAGAGCAAAGCCTCTGTAATGCACTGTGTGGCTTTGCTCAGCTTGTAGTGAATTTAGGGCAGCTGCCAGGTCACAAAGTGCTCAGATGCACGTCCAATGATAAGCTGCCCTCTTTCTGGATTCCAGGCATGTCAGACCAGGCAATGGATTTGTTCCAAACTTCCTGCTGTTTGACAAAGGTGATGTGAATGGAAAAGACGAGCAAGAGGTTTTCACTTTCCTTAAGGTAAGTTGTGGTCTGCTAGCAAAGTATGTGATATAAAAATTTAACTTTCCATTATATGTCAATAGAGGTAGGCTTAAATCAGTAGTTTAAATCAAGTGTTTTAGTAATGGTGTGCACAGACTTTAAAGTGAAATATCAACCTAATTGTTTCAGAATTTGTCACATTAGGCTGGGTGCTATTTGAAATGTTTTAATCAGATTACGTACAGGAAAAAAATGACTAACTTTTGACCTGCTGAGTCACACTCAGGCAACTATTGTTTACTGAATAGTGTATAAATATGTTCACACCCTGCACAGAAGCACACACACAGAATTGGGTATTTCCAAATATAAACAGCTATCAACGCATATTTGAGTTTGAATATTTCCGAGCCACTGAAAATTTCACACTTGCTTTTCTGGTTGTACTGGATGAACAGTAGATCAGTTTACCTTCATGTAATCTATAATTTACAAAACAAAATACAAAATCAAAGTTGGCCCATACAGATCTGTAGGGTGGAGATTATTCACTCAACTGTAACTTTGTTGCTCTCTTTATATTCCTGTGTTTTCTTCCACACAGAGCTCCTGCCCTCCAGTTGGAGACAACTTCGGTATCCCTATTCACAGATTGTTCTGGGAGCCTCTGAGAATCAGCGACGTTAAGTGGAACTTTGAGAAGTTTCTGGTGGGACCAGACGGGAAGCCTGTGATGAGGTGGCACCCAAGTGTCAACATTTCTGAGGTCCGAGCTGACATTCATAAATACCTGCTCCAACGCTACACACAGGATTTTTTCAATTAGATCCGATTCATCATAGAGAATTGTCAATGTAGTGAAGTAACAGGATAAGTAGAGTAAAGGTAGAATGTAAAAGAGAGTAATGTTAACAGTTTCTGACACATGAAGATGGCATGTTGAATGAAGAGGAGGCTTGAAAACAGGAACTCTGTGGTGCCTCTTCGGAATCTGGGAGTCAGGCCAGCTCTTCAGTGCATTCAGGCTGCCCTGCAATCCCACAGCATCATGTCATCTTCTCATCCCAGGACCTGTTAGCCATTACAGCCCAAATATGAATTACTTCCAATAAATCATGGAGAATATCACACCGATGTGCAGACCTTCCTTTATGAGAAACAACTGTTATTCTGTGGGTGTCATGTCACAGGGAGGTGACCATGATGTAGCAAATTTGTGGCCCCTTGACATTTCTATCCTGCAATAAAAAAAAAATGGACAATATGAACATGAATAAGCAGGGTAAGATACTAACAGACACTTAGAATAGATTTTATTAAGCCAGTCAAATACAAAAAGTCTCACATGTGCTTTTGCCTACAGCAAAAAAAGAAAAGGGGCTACAAACCAAAAAAAATACAACTGCCAGTAATTACAGCGTACCTTTCAAAGTGCAATTCTGATAATGTCTCATTTCAGCTCTTGTCCATCAGGATTTAGTTCCCTGTAACTTAATAACTTGTTTGATAAAATGGAACCTTTTTCAAATTCATCTGCAAACCTTTTAAAGCCCTTCGCCTGACTACCTGATATTCACTATACTAAGGAAATATTAATGGGTATTCATTTAAAGTGGCTTGATTTGAGATTAGATCTACCTTTTTAAAATAGTAACACACACACACACACACACACAGAGAATATCTCGAGGTATGGATACTGTGTCTCTTATCAGGGCTCTTGACTCTCTCTTGAAAGAGAGCAAAGCCAGACATCGTGGCAGAGGTTGTTCTCTGAGAAGCGGATGTACTGCAATAACACTGGATCTAGGACCGCCAAGTACTTGTGAAAATCTTCCCCTTTCTGCTGTTTGAGCAGAATTTGAATGTTTCTGTTCTACAACTCCTTCAGTTAATATGGAATAGCAGGTATTTGAGGATGAAGAGGGAGATGGTCATCGCTGCTGCCTAAAAGTTTGAGTGCTGTAACCTAAATGCTGTATGTTGGGGCTAAACTGTGGGCAACGGTACAGGATGCAGCAAGATAAGTATGAATATCAGAATGAGTGATCAAATCAATTGTGGTCAAGTACAAGTGTTGTGTTTAATGAGATTAGGTCCATCATCATGGGGAAAAAAAGGTTGTGTATGTATTGTGCATTGTGTATTGTGTCTGATACAAACATACAATGTCAATAGCTACAATATATTGGGATTACACTAACAACATAGAAAGAACAGCATTACTAAAGACAATGATTTACACTTAGTCAATGCAACTATCAAAACAGCAGGATATAAATAAATTATCAATAATCACAATCATGTTTTTGGTATGATACCATCAAAATTCATTTCCCCAAATTTTTGTATTTCAACAACCACTTTTGAACAGTTACACATATGGGACAGTTCTATAACATTGATGATAATGAAGAAATCTTCATAAATCAATCAACATTCACATTGTAAATTCTATGAGTCAATGTACCTATATAATCATTCATTGTTGGAATGAGTATATGTAGTCTTAGTCATATTGGGGAATGGCTTCCTGTAACCCTACAAGTAACAAACTAAGTGTCAAGTTGTTACATATTTGCAGAGAGACAATCACATAGGTATATTTTCTGGAAAAAAAGAACAATGTTAATTATTCCAACCTATTTAACAAATGACTTCAGTTCCTGATAAAAAAATTAAAATAATATTTCATGTATATATCAGAATAGCGAAGTGTTTCACAAATAGGCTTATAAAACGCAAGTATAAACAACATTACAATAGGATATCTACAGTTCAGTAGGAAAATTATAGATCAAATCACACCTTGTCAACTCAAAAACAAACTGATTTCATGCTACTACCCAGACTCCATTCGGTGGGTACGGTGATGCTTTAGTGCTTTCCAGGGTCAATGTTCTGTCGCTCCCTTTTTCCAAATCCTGCGGCAGCTGCTGCAGCTGCAGACTGATCTACAGATGCACAAAGGAAAAAGACAGTACTCTCATTACAGTCAAATTTTGCTCCTCCACACTTTTTAAATTGAATACAGTAGAAGTGGCCATTGTGTGGTGTAATGAAATAATCCAAAAATATACAAAAAGCCTAGGTGATAAGCCTAGGAATTCCTTGAAAAGACCAAACCCAATAATCAACTGATCCCCTTACAAGTATTGTCTGTGTAGCCAAAGCCAAATGATTTAGGTTTCATCTTTTTGGGCATAAAACTCCTAAAACACATAAATGGGCTACATCATTTTACTGAGTGACATTTATTCATTAGGATAAATGTAGTCTATTTTGAGTCAGTCCCACATACACCACCCTAATGCCACAAATACCCACTAGTAGGTGTTCATCCACAGCTGAAAATAGTCCCTAACCAATGTATAACAGCATGTACTACTGTTAGAGCTGTTGGCCTACATCTCCTCCTCCACCTCTGCTGATATGGTTAAACAACGCAGGCTAGTTATATGGGACTCATCACCCACAACATTAGATTATCACCACCTCTGACATAGAGGCTAATCTTAGTGTGCTGGCATCATGGAGGGAGAAACAGGGAACCCAGGCACACCACCAGCTCTACTTATAGCAACATAGTTATCCATCTTGGCTCCAGCGACATGAGGATGAAGCAGTCAGAGATCACCAAAGCTCGCCAAGCCAGGACGTTTGAGTTTGCCAGAAAGATGAGTCGGCGCAGCATCGATTAACTGTCTCTGGTCAGTTACCCGTGCGGGGTAATGATGATATATACAGTAGGCTTCCTTCTCTGAACCACTGGCTGGCTCATCATTATAGTGAGCAGGGATTTGGTTTTGTGGATACTCTTCCTTCTTCCTAGGGCTGCCCTGACAAAGTGAAAGCAGATGGATGGAAGCATCCTACTGGAGTAGGCTATGCTATTTTATCTAGAAATATAGACTGGTGTTTACAGCAGGTTTGACATTAGGCACTTGCTTAGTAGGTCGCAGATGATTAGAGAGCCTGCTAGGGTTATAGGAAGTTTTGGAGTCCACTGGTTTAGAAATTAAGTTTACTCAGGAAAATCCCCAGAGTGCAGCCTGACAGCCAGATTTATAACATTGAGACGAGATTTATAAATTTGTAAATCATCATACACTAACCACCATTCCTACCACACTCCCCACATTATCACGTGTGCAGCCCATCTAAATTTATTGAGCGGCCTACTAATATCAACTCCAGCCTTAACAACACCCTCAAACTTGGTTTCCTAAACATCATATCACAGTCTATTAAAGCATTACTGATAAACGACCTGATTCTTCACAATAAGCTGGATATGATTGGTCTTAAACCAAATATCGTCTTATTGGAGCAACCCCACTTGATTACACTAATGCACATGCTGCTCGAGCTACTAAGAAAGCTGGGTGTGTGGCATTAGTCTATAAATCCAATTTCAAACTAACCTCTAATCTTAAAGTGACCTTTAACTCTTTTAAGGCTCTTGCACTGAAACCAATTCTCCCAGTTATGAACCACCCTCTCCAGGATGAAATACCATTCCATCTTGTGGTACTTTACAGATCACTTGCCCCTTACTCACAATTTTTAGAAGAATTTGGAGAATTTATCTCAAGTCTTGTTATATACCGCAACGTCATTCTAATTATTGGTGACTTTAATATTCACCTGAATAAAGTATGATCCTTTATATCTTCTGTTGTGATTTGGTGCTTTATAAATAAATGATTGACAAAAAAAAAGCAAATTGGCTTAGGGCTGAGAGCCACACATAGGGTGGGGAAATCAAAAAGTATTGAGAGACGGACTGCAGCTATCAACACATTGTTGGTTTTGGTCTTTTTGTGACATCATTTTGTTGACAATAAGGTAAAATACAATAACACCAACTTTATCTTTTGAGCAATAAAACTGTACAAAAATGTGATTTATAACAAAATGTAAGAATTAAATATTGTATTTGGGTTGCTGTACTGTACCTGCGTTCTCTGGTGGTGGTCTTGAACTCTCTCCAACTGCTCTGGCCCCTCTGGGCTGTGAGAATGATGGCTGCCAAGGAAAACCCTGACAAAAAAGAAAGCACCACCTTAGTTCAAACCACTAAATATTCTCATTCATCATAACCAGCAGCCCTCAACTTTGCTGTAACCTAACAATTGTATTGAATGTAATCGTGGCTAGGTTGAGCTGCAGTTAGACCTAATTACATCTTGTTCCTCCCAACATGTAAGGGGAGTAGAAATAAGAGAAAAAAGAGCCTTGTTTCCTCAGTGAACAAGAGTCACTCCAGAGACAGAGACACAGGGGCCTTAGAGGACCCTTACCGGGGTAACAGGCTGGAAGTCTCGTACAGGGGGTGGTGCTGCTGCGGCTGCTGCGGCTGCTGCGGCGGCTGCGGCGCCTGCTGCATTGGGCATCCGGGGAGGGAAGTGTATGGGCCAGCCCTCAAGGCCCTGCGGTCCCACCTGCACAAAGGGACCACAGTAGGGAGGGCTCAGCGGGCCGTTCACTGAGCCTGACGTGGGGTCTGAGGTACGTCTTTCCTGCTGCTGCCCCTACGAGGGATCACAAGTACACACGTGATCCCCAATCAGTGCACGGTTGCTACTCTCAGCGAGCGCAGTGGCCCTGTCATGGCATGGGCCACTGCTGAACTTCAACCCTACTGCCGCTGCCTCCCACTGAGGAGTGTAAATGTTCCACCTGATCCCGAATGCACTGACAAACATGCTAGCTGGAGTGAGGCTCTTGTCCTGGAGTATTGATTTGTCCACTATGAACTTACTGCAGTCGACATCTAAGCGACTGCATTCTGTCACTAGGGGGTGCTAGTCTGCAATGTTTTCTACAACTCGTATCCTGCTGCATAATTTATCCCAAAGGCTTAAGGAGCAACTTTCAGTGAATGCCATGGCCCTAATTAAATGTACTTGAAAGAACGGCCAAAATGACCAAACACATCACCTATCCAGACTGACAGCACCGTTTCATTCACCATTTCAATACGTCTGCAATACTATCAGGCTCAAACCTGAGCTGCAGCCAGTACCTGTTTGTGATGCATCTGCAGTCTCTCCAGCTTACACCTCTCTGTACGTTCTCGCTGACACTCGTTCTGTGCCTGATGAAGCTGAACACACAACACATAA